CGACTTGCTTCCTTCTTTCCAGCTCCCCTCCTTTATTTTCCCCTGCGTTGAGAAATGCTAAATGAGTAGACCAAATGACTAGACAGAGGGAATGACTGGCTGACAAAGATGAGCTCATTCCTACACTGTAGACCTAGAGCCACGAGTGCACCTGCCACCTTCCCATGGTTACTAATTCCATATTAGACACGCAGTGATGTACATACATGGGATATTTTGTTCACAGCACTCTAAGGTGAGTACCCCAATATCCATCTTACAGACACTCAACTCACCATTGCTCATTCCCCTGTTCAATGCCACATAGATAAGTAGAATCTTCTTCGGATTAGAACCCAGCCTTGGGCTATCCAGATCTATGGCCACCACTGGCATTTAACGTGATGGAGGGGCAACTCACAGGTGTAAGTCCTATCAGAATCATCAAGGAATGTTGAAGTAGATGGGAATTTTTCATCTACCACTCAGTCTTGATTTGGGACAATAATTTCACACTTTGACTACAAGTGGGGCCTCCCCTAAGGGTTTGTAAAAACAAACCAATGGAATTCCATCCCTGTTCCTCTTTGGTTATGGATGGATGAGGAGAAAGCACAAAGAGCTGATTAATTAGGGTGACTGTGGCAAAACCCTCAATTCCAGTACTCAGGAGGCAGAGGCAAGTGAATTTCTCTGAGTTCAAGGCCAGCCTGGTCTACACAGCAAGTTCCAGGACATCCAGGGCTATATAGAGAACCCCTGATATGAAAAACAAAATAAAACAAAACAAAACAAAGACAAAAAAGAGTTAATTAAAGGTTCTGACAGGGATTACTAAAAAGTGCCTTCAATGTTTGAGTATCTCTGTGAGTTAGTGAACATACATTTCTTTATGTTCTCTGTGGAGATGAATGTAAAACAGGCTAGTCTCGGTCACCTTACCTGTGTCGTCAACATGTTAAAATAAGCAAATCACAAAAGCAGGATGTAAAATAGAGCCATTATACTAGGCACAATCATAACTAGCTAGCTGAGGCACAGAGTCTAGAGAAGGCTGCCATCAGTGTGAGAGGCTGGGGAGCCTGTGGGAGAATTTGGAGATCAAGCTAAAACTCTGACGGATGAGTAAACAGATGAAGATGAGTGAAATGATCCTTCTCACACACAGGCTTATGAATGGAGAATCAGAAAGAACCCTGTGGGCTTGGGTTATAGCTCAGTGGAGAACACTTGCTTAGCACATGGAGGTCCCCAAATGAACAGCATACATGCTATGAGCCCACTTCCCATTCAACAAGCTAGAAAAATGAGTCATGAGAGACTTAGAAGGTGGGGACTCTGACCTGGCCACTTAGTTGGAGGCAAGACACAGCTTTTGCTCTTACAGGATAGAAGGGGATTATGGCTGGAAAAACTGAGGCTAAATACCAGTGGGCAGCCTATGACGGTGTAGGTCAGTGAAGAACACGTATGTGGCTTTATGTGGAGGAGACCTTTGCTTCAGTCTCAGTGCATTCACAAGAAGAGGGAAATGGAGACAAAGGGGGCAGTCAGGAGACTGTTGCAGCAGCCCATGTGGTGGAGATTCGCTGCACTGGGGCAGTAGCTGCAGGCCAGATGTGGAAGACGTTCTCAAGGAAGGACTCACAGGATTTGATGACAGATTGGCTGTAGGGAGAGGGAAATATGGGAGGTGGAGGGAAAAGGCTGAGGGGAAGTTCACAGGCTTTTCCCCTTCCTCCCCAACATAGTGAGACTGAATTGAAAATATTTTTAAACAGGAAACATATTTTCAGGGATTCTTTTTTTTTTTTTTTTTTTTTTTTTAAAAAATACCTTCTTTCATTTTTTTTTTTTTTTTGCATGAGCCTAACATAACTAGGTGAGTTCATCATATGGCCTCATACTTAATTTTACACATGAGCCTCTTTGTCCCAAGGCCAATAATGATAAAATATGAATATTTAGAGCGGCTTATAAAACTGAAATCCCCTTAAATTCACTCTGTGCTCTGCACAGTTTTGCATGCAGAAAAAAAGAGCCAGATGTTCTGACTGGACCCATAAGCTGGCCTGATTCACATGGCGAAGAAGGTTGAGGAGATCTAATATGATAGACACACAGCTCCGCTGAGAAATACTGCTTTGTGGGCTGAGAGGGCAGGGAGGTTTCGAATCCCAAACGTTATTCTACACAAGGGAGTTAGGGAAGGGAAAGTGTCACACTGGCCACTTGGCTACACCATGACAATGGAAATGGCTACAACAATCTGTCTGATGGCCCATCAAGTTCCCCCAAAGGAAACAGAATACAGATAACCCCTTTTAGCATCTTGATGAAGGCCTCTATTCAACCTGCCATGTACCCTGTCAAGACCCCCATTCATGTTGTGTCAGTAATCCCTTCTGTCATAAATATACATTTTGTAACTTTCATGAATCCAGCTTTCCCGTCACCTCTCGGAAACGTCCTCTTAATTCAAATCTAGATGGAAGGACACAGCTCCAGGACACACAGAACCCCACCCATCTCAGGTCATTTTTCACATCCCCGAGAGGGACCCCTGTGTGTTCAAACACTTCTACAGCTGTTAGAGCACTGATGGGAACTTCATGTGTTGGTAGCAAAGTGCCGTCAGGAAGAAACTGAATGTCAAGCTGAGCTATGTAGAAGTTACCACAAATAAGTCTCTCAGTGTTTGCCATCTGGAACGGATAGATCCCGATTTTGACAAGAAACTGGGATTGCCCCGTGGGCACTGTCTTTTAAGTCAGTGCTTTCAATTGCCTGGGTTACTTTACATTACTTTGTTAGGGGGACAAAAACACAAGTTTGTGTCTTCAAGGTGTGAATTTACCATGCCCTAATTCTCAATGTCTTGTTGGTACCCCATGCACTGCGTGGGTGCTTCTTTGGAGACTAGGTGTCTCCCATGTTGTCTACCTCCTGACCAGGCAACTTTGTGACCAGTCTCCAGCACAGCACCAGGGACATAGGCTCCTGGGGCTCCTGTGGGCTTCCATTCATAAGCAGACCCTTGTCCTTGCCTTTGGTGGAATACCACTGTGGGACATCTCCTTGGATGAAACCCAGCCCATCAACAGGACTTCACGGTGTCCTGAAATAATGCTACAAAGGTACCAGAATAGCCTGGTCAGTTAGCTCCTTACCTGCTCCATGCTATAAGGGGCTCCGATCCTGATATGATGGGAGACGTTATTCTCCCTTTCTCTCTACACTTTTTGAAACCTTAGTTCCACGGCAAAACCAACACTGAATGAATGGAATTCCAAGCGACTTCAGCTGATGAACTAAGTCCCATTTCACTTCAGTTATGTAATACTGGGACTCCGATAACGCTCAGAATCATTGCTGAGAGAATGTTGTTTCCATGCCAATGCTCAAACCTTGGCTACAGGACATTCTGAAAAACACCTCAGCCCCATACTGGGATATCATTTTAGTCTTAACTTTTTTTTTTAAAGATGATTTTTTTTCAAGTCCGCACTATGGCTACAAAAATACAAAAACGCAACTTGAAACAGTATGTTAGAGACCTTAACGCAGCTGAACTATCAAATCAGAGTCCCATGCATTCAACCTGTTTTTCTGCCTACTACCCAGCTTCTACTTATGAAACAGTCCAGATGCAGTGTTGTGTACCAAAACCTCTCACCTGCAAAGGGTAAGGACCAGGCTGGGTTTCTCTCCCTGAAGACACAGGTCCCCCCATAGCACTGGTACATAATTTCCCAGAAAGCAAATCAGTCTTTCAGTACAGTAAAAGAAGTAACCCAGACTCACCCATCTTTTTTGAAAAGTAAAAATACCATTTTAATCCCTCAAATAAGAAGGCACCAGTCTGAAACTTTTTTGAATGCCGTAAGACACAGCATCGAACATTCCTTGTTATATATATTCCATTCAATTAAACCCTGGTGGGTGAATCTGGCAGAGCCTTTAGCCACACTTCAGATGACAGCTCAGTTACTGTTGCTCGGCACCCGGATGACCATTAATTTCCAATGACTAATTTGTAATTAAAACCTTTTTGTTTATTTGTTTATAGCCAAGGCTGAACATCTATTTACATTTAATTAACACTGTGTAACGCCTGTAACTGTAGTGACTTTAATGATCCATCCCAGATACGCCGCTACTTTAGTTTTTCCTGACTTGTAAAACTCACACACAGATCTGCAAGTGAATTACCTCCATCTGCTCCCCCTGCAGCTGCAACTGGGCTATGTTAAAGAGATTTCCTTCTACCTCCCCTTCTTGCTTTTCTTCCAGCTCTAAGCATTTTTGTTTCAGAGACGACCTAAAGGCTGCACCGAGGGTAGCCAGTTCTTTTTTTCCCAAGGAGTTCCCCGACTTTAGTCAGTCTCCAAAAATGATTAAAAACCACTCTTGCTCTATCACAAATCGACCCGATCTACCTTGCACAAATCGGTTAACAAAGCGTTCCCGACTCTGCCAGCAAGCCAGCCATCAAGCCTTAAAAGAACCTTTACGTATCGAGTAGGAGAACGCAACCGCTTCAAAGTGAACTCTTAATGGTGAAAACTAAAACAAATGCTTTCTTAGCCTTGTCCATCCTTGGCGAGCAATTTGCACCTACTGTTCCGCGCCTACACCGGGGATCTCAAGGGCACCCGGGCTCCCAAAGGCAGTTTCTTCGCTACACCTTCAAATGCCACGCTCGAGAAGCGTTAGCGCTACAAAGACAGCCAAGCTATGTGCACTGTTATCTGTCAGCCGTACAATAGCGGCATTGATGGAATGGCGAGCACCGACTTTGACAAGTGTGCTGGGTTAGCATTACATTCCAAACTACGGCGAGAGAGAGGGAGAGAGGGAGAGAGAGAGGGAGAGGGAGGGAGAGAGAGAGGAGAGAGAGAGAGGG